GTAATCTTTAATCATTGAATCAATATGTATAATTAGAGAGGGGTTTTGTGAAGATTGTAGTAATTTCATAATTGAATTTATGAATCAATGGAAGTTAGACCATCGTGAAAAACCTGTAACCACTAGATCGCCGTTTCATCCTAGTATGGGATGTATAATAAAATAAATTCAAATGTAAATTCATTATTGTGAGTTCTCGATCAACAAATCTTTCAAACAAAAACTGGACTTCTTTCTTCAATTAATGGGGATGGAAAAAGAGAACAGAAATAGTCCTATTCATCATACTGAAGTTGTGAAATAGTAGCTTAGTGCATAAACGCATGACCAATAAGTCAGATGCATTTCAGTCAAAATGATCTTAATTCAATTCAAGTTTCCAATTACTGAGTCAAGTTGGCTTGATAAAAAAAATAAGGACTGAAGCCGAGATGTAATCTAATGTGATTAATGATAAAATAATTCAAAGAAAAGTAATAATAACTTCGGTTGTGCGGAATATCAACGAATAACAAATTTAAGTCACAATTCAGAGCCAATAAAACTCACGACGTATTATCCCATTGAGTGTTAATAATAGTTTATAGGTTAACAAGAATGAACTGTGGTAAGAGAAACTTTGTATTATTTTGGTATGTATATCATTCTTAAAGTAGTTCATGAAAGTATCCTCAATTGTTAGGTTTCCTACCTATATATGTAGTATACTCACGCAGAATATTTTCAAGAATTCGCCATTAATCTTAACTGAAATCAATCACTCGTTAATTTATACCGCATATTCCCAATCCAACCATGTATAGTTCTTTTGGCCGTTTGAGTTCCAGTGCTTCGATCTTAATTTTAAGGAGAAACTTATTCGAATTCTACGAGGAGTATTCACATTGATGGTTTTCATTGGTTCTGTGGAGTCTATTCTCCAACATACTAATTCTTATTGAAATGGTAACAGATGAATGATCTGGTTTAAACAAAATATATCAGTAACTATTCATCGTCATCGACGACTACAATTCACTATCCATCTATGAAACAAGCAATAATACAGATATTCAAGAGTATAAATCACTAAAATATCTTACGTAGGTAGCACTTACAATGTCGGTTTGAAAGTTCTTTATTAGTTTCAGAAAGCCAGTCATGATATGTGGATTACACAAAAGCAATACTCCGTGAAAAACTAAAACACAAATCCTGCTCCCAAGACATCATTTTCTGTTCATCACAAATTAGAACGATGATCTTGAAACTGTATAATCGTTCCATTGATTTAGTTATGTAAAATACAGTAAGTGGTCCGGTGATGATGCACTATTTTGAGCCACATGTGACAAAGTTCTAAAGGATGTAATCAAGTGATAACTTTGGTTCATATTGATATAATGATACAATGTTGTTTTTGTGATCAATGTTAACCAATTAGGAACTGAGTCAAACTGTGTGTGGAAGCGAGCGATACTATCTGGTTGCTGAAACTAAATCAAGTACAGACAGGTCTGAACTTGAAAACTATTGTTGAGAGATGCCGATTCCTTAAAAAAACACTAAATGATGGAATTAATTTTCTGGAATAATGGATCCAGTTTCATTCAAGTTGTTTTAGATGCAGACAAATGTATTCAGTGAATTTCAGTATGATTATAATTTTAAATTTAGTTTAATCTGATGTGAAAATCTACTTCTTAATTTGAATTTGAAAAAAATAACAACTAGGCGTAGATGCTACGAAAACATGGTATCAAGAAATAGAGGATTACGATTTCAAAAAGGAAAATCAATTCCCTTGTGGTAAGCTTTCCTTGACTTACCTTGTCGATAATAAACTTGTGAATTATGATATATATAATCACGGATAAGGAAAATCGTCGTAGTTTAGGCTGACCTAAACTAATACTACTGATATGATCGTACTATCACAGTGATAGATTCAGTAATTCAATACGATATTTTGATTCAACATTTTAACAGAGATAATTAACAGACATATACTTAATGCCGGGTCGGCAGTTACTTAGTTACATGAAATATACTATTGAAAATCTCTCTGGACGGTTTTAGTCGCCTTGGTATCAAAAAGTTGTATCCAGTTACTAATCAAAATGCCTTCCGTTTTTATTTTAGGGGTTAAATCCATGTTAATCATATTGCTGCCACAGGAAAACATTTTCCAAGTCAATCAGCTTATATTAGTATTTTCAATGTGAAGGGAAGGAGAAATTCAGATAATTCGGGGTAATCACTTGTTACTGCATAACGGATAAGTTACTTGGGTAGTAATCGACTGTTCCATAGCGAACTCATTAGTTGCAGAGAGCCTTAGTTATACAAACTTAGCTGGTCATTAAAAGAATACGAATAAGTAAAATGAAGATGGTGTACACATTTAAGTACCAGGCTTAGAAACAGAGATAAAATGAAAATACCATTCAGCTGTCTAAATGGGAGTGGGTCTTTCAGATCAAATAAGGAATGTTATTAAATCGGGTAAAAAGAATAGGCTCTAACAAGCAACACACTGGTTGCAAGTTGACTGCTAAAGTATAGGGACAGAAAAAGGCTCATTTTAGATCATAACAATAACAAATCCTCTTATTTCTATTTGAACAGAAGACTTTAGATGATTTATGGGAATTATTAGCACGTCATAGAATACATGTGTACTACTTTTCCGTGCTACGATAGTTGTAGCTGTTTATCGAGTTAATCATTCACATTCGGATTTATTGAGAAAGTACGGGTAGTAACTAAAAACATTAGTTAAATTCGAAATAGAGTTAACTTTAGTTTTTAGAAAGCTCCCAACTAAAGAAAATGATTTTCGAATTAGCGACGTTTGAATTTTGAGTGTTTTTCACACTCGTTACAATTAGTCTTGAAGCACTTCTTTTTAATGTTTCTGTTTAAAAAGGACATTTTACACAAGTAGTATGGAAGTCGACTACAACAGCTGGATTTGGTAGAGCTTGGTCAAAAGATCGTCATAGTATTTATGTCGTTGGCAGATACGATCCACCTGGGAATTTTTCGGACGAATTTCTTGAAAATGTCCCACCTTTAATTAGTAAGTAGAAACTATCTTGATTTAAACAAAATTACTTTGACGTATACGAATAAAAAAGGTATGACCACTGGTCAACAACTGACCAGCTGTGATTAATAGTCGTTTGATTTGTATTTGTTTTTAATGTCAATAATAAGGATAGTTCAGATAATTTAAATATATCCCAAGTTTTGATCGTTATGTAAATTAATTTATTCTTTTATAAATATTTAGTGAATCTGAGATCTGATTAACAGTTTGGATCCATTAGTTCAGTTAGTAGATGATATAGTCAATAAGATAACTAGTTTGAATTTTTCCACAACTCACACGTTTTAAATGGTAATTATTACGCCTAGTAGGCTAAAGATGGAGTCAATTTTCTTCGTTTGAGTACTTGGTTTAATTGTAAATCAGTAAACAAGTTTGCACAACACTGAAATTGTTTGCTTGTCGGCTTAGTGATGAGGACATTAGACTTCCACCCGTAATTTTGAGAGCTTAGTAGTATAACAAACGCCATGAACCTTTAATTTTTTCGCTTGAACGTGTCACTACTACTATACAACACAGCGTTGTTACGTGGGCTTGGTAAAAGCTAACGAACACAAATATGATCGAAGATGTACAAAGTTTGGATTTTGCTGGATAATTATAAACAATTGGCAAAGAATACACGCTGATTTCGCTGGTCTAAACAGAAACTACTTGTTGTTGTGGATGCTTTCAAGAAGTGACTGGAAATACACGAAATGTCGAACACGACGTCAGAGAATACAAGAAGAAAATTGTTAGGAATGTTCGCTTGTTTCGGGATTCCAGAGCTTAGTAACTAACAATGGTACTGAGTTCATGTCATGGTTCTGCAGAGGAAATGGCACTACGCATCTACAATCTCCTCTGTACCATCTCCAGTTGAATGACCAAGTAGAAAAATTCGCGGATACGATAAAAAGGCTTCTAATTAAAGCGGAAGGGAAGAGAATTCCAGCACAAGTGGTCAGTTACTTCTTAATAGCCTACAGAGTTACACTCAATCCGGCAGTGCCAGAGGGGGAGTTCAGACAGTCTTTAATAGAATATTGCCACCCAGGAAGACAAATAAACCCACGAATGAGTATCGGACGGTCACATGCAGCTTCCAGGTGGGCGTAAGGGTACTTATCATTAGTATCAAAGTAATAGGGAACGGGGACCAGATGTTATAGAACGTCGGATTGGAAATGGACTGCACTTAGTTCGGAGAAGGGTTTGGACTTTTATAAGATATGTCAATCGAATTCAAAAGGAATAACGATTAGACAAAATCGACTCCCGTTTAAAATGCTCGTGGATTCATCTCAAAAAAGCCGTAAAGAGAACGAAAGCAGATGTAAAATACGAAAGGCCAAGACAGTGCCAACTTCAAGAGTGACGGACAGCAAGAGGAAGGCGGTAACCAAATTTCAAGTGAACAGGAGCAGAAATTCTTATACAAAGGTGTGGGGACGGCCCCAGTGAACTTCAGGAAGCTCTGAGAGAGCCGAAGACATTCCACCCAATCATCTTTTGGAATATTCTAAAATCTTGATGTGTACCTTTTCGACTGGATAAATGCTAAAAATCACTGCATGTGGGTTGGATGACTATAATGATGATTTCGTTTATACTAAAAACTGCAAACACCTGAGTGTTTTGTACCATATTTGACGCTGTTTGGAACAAGATTCCCTTCTGCTGGTCTTGTCTTCTAACTTGCGTTCGAGTGCTTAAATTGTACAAATTCTAGATGTAACACTATCCTTACGATGGACGAAATTTTTTTAAAGACATTGAGAAATATAAGTTACGCTTGTTTCCTATGCTACTGTATGATTATTTGAAAGTTTTCACACAAGATAAACTGTGAATGTTTACTTCAAACACAAAATTTGTAAACATCGACCTTAACCTAAAAAGAAGAAAGAAAGCAACGACAATGTCCAACAAACGTTGAATAAAAACAAACTACAACATAACTTTATTCAGACAAGAAAAGAGATGAATCACTTCATCACTTTAACATAATGATATGATTGATATAAACAAAATTGTTGTTGAAATCAGTATTTATTTATGAGAAATCATCCGAAAATAATATCAATAAAAAGCAAAATAAATACAACAGTGAATTATAAATACACCTCTGAGAGTTTCATTATTGTGTTAAGTTTCATGAAACTATGGCTAATTTAATGATGTTCCTTCATTGGGTTCTATGAAGAGTAAGAGAAAAAAAGGCATCAATAGAATTTAAAAGTGAACAACCTGAATGCAACGGTTATATAAATAAACAAGAGAAATTTTGTTTACAACTGTTTATTACCCTTCAATACCTTTAAATTGTCAAAAATATCATTATTCCATTTAGGACAAGAAATCATCTTACACAAACTGTAAGATATACTAGAAACTATACATATGATGTAACTTGTTCAAAACGGTTTAAGATTCATTACTTCAAAAAACTGACTGACGAGATAGTGAATCTTTATCGACCGAGATGGTTAAGGTATGTATGACGCATGCCCAAACATTGACTACCTTGATGGCTGGTGTAAGAATAGGTTGAAGGAAAGTTAAAGGTTGGCCGAACTAAAATATAGTATCAGTCCATGAAGACCCTGAATATAGAACTGAGTCATGTAGGTAGGTCAAGACTACCTGATTGGGCTTCATGCAATTATCGTAGCCAATGACTAAAGACTTTGAGTGACATGGCTCAAAAACATTCACCAAGGTGTAGGGCGCATTTAATCTTTGCTTTCTCTTACATCCTAAGTTTCTGAATTACCTTATAAATTTTTTTTGTTTTATCCCACCGATCTAAACCTTCTTCTTAGATCGTATCACTGACACTTAATCTTTTCCACTACAACTAATACTGTTACTACCGTTACAACTCTTGGATTTGCCTTGACTACTTTATCTCGCTGCATTGATGGGGTGTGGCAACTTGAACTGATGAGCACATGTGCCAGATTCCACGTTGAGTATGACCGATTTAAGATTAATAGGTTGATTATTGTATTATATATATATATATATAACAGTCTGAGATTTGAAGATATTTTTTGTACACGTACTTAATTTTCGACTGTTAATAATATAACCTTACACATTTTGATTGTAACAATCGGTGTTATGATTAGTTGTCAGACATGAGACTAAACCAATTACAGTCTATAATTCGAAAGTGAATAGCTGAGTTACATTAATTGATCATAGCATTAAACCATCCCACTCCTGAAAGTTAGGCAAGAGGAACATTGTTTAAATGTATATCATACTTATCAGGCAATATCATAACTATTGAGACAAATTGAATTTGAATCTGTGACAAAACAATTACAAGTTCACTATTTATTCCACTGACCCACAGATCAAAAATATATTCAAGAGATACGAAAAATTTGGTTTATAACATCTTTTCTAATACAATATTCTTAACACCAATTTTTAGGTGCATTAAATCTGAGTTTACTTAAACTTAACAAGTAGTTATCAAATGTATAAACCAATAAATTTAAAAGTAACTTTGCAAGATTTTTGCAAAACACTCACCATCAAAACTAGTGTCCATATTGAAAAATTCAAGTGTTTCATCCTCGTCCTCCTCACCGAATGACACATACTCATCCTCTGATGATGAGAAGTTTGTATTTACTGCCTGGGTAGAAGTATCACATTCAGAATCTGCTACATTTAATGAATGTTTTCGAATGCGTTTACGTTTACTTGGTCCATTATTTTTATCCCCAGCTGTATTCTTTGACTGGCTGGGACGTAAAACTAGTATGATGTCAGGAATTTTATCTTCTGGAAGTTTTTCAAATTCTGTATTGTTTATATTGCAATTCCGCAAATCTAACCTGAGTATAGTAATTTTATACACATTTGAATATACAATAAGGTTAGAAATCAGTGTTACATAAAAATTTCTGTATAACAAAACAATTTTATTTACTGCTTAAAAAAATGAGTAGCTGAAAATAATTCGAGCTAATATCCACCACTAGAACGATTATATGAGATTACGTCCAGTTCCCAGACTTAAGCTAATATTACAGTCAATCTGACAGCTGGAAATGAACCACTATCCTTAAAGGTCTCAGGAACCACTATATCAGGACCTGTTGTTCTTTCTCTCTTCAAATTAAATATAGCATTTATAACCTCACGAAGAGTTTGACAACTGTTATCAAGTTGTCATACAGGTTGGTTGGAGGTAATAGTTATCTTACGGAATAGCTGGAGGTCAGTTGAACTATCCTCTTAAGGGTTCCGCTCATCGGTCTAATCTTCTGGACTGAGTTAATAATGGCTCCATCTTCTTCCGAAACAGTCTAATAGCTGGCTTATTAATATGTTTTATTGATAAGTAGGTATGGTTGTCTAGTACTACTATCGCAGCTACCTTTTCCATCCCTTTTTATTTCGTTACCCGCCATCATTACACAAACATTTCTAGCTTATGTTTGGGTTGTTGTCGCTCTTCATCACACTTTGAGTCTATTGTGATGAGTTTTCGAGCATCTATCAAGTCAGTGAATGTCTTTCCTAATCCTTTGATGAAAGTTGTAAGTTGATGTCATCGTAGGTATTTACAGTTACTTGGATATCATTCCAAGCTCCGCGACTAACTAGGTGTTTATCTAATTGTTCAATATATGCACTTCTAACACTATTATCCCCGAACTGATATCTAAGGAGCCTTTCTGCTGTGACTTTCTTATGTCCAGTAGAACGCATGAAAATGAGTGCTTTCACTAGGACATGGTTGAAATCCAAGCATGTGTTCAATAAAGAGACATAGTCCTCCATACTGAAAGTTTTCAAAATGATTTCTACCTAATTCCAACAAAGCTAACAATTTCTCAATAACACTATTCATCAAAATCGAATCTTCATCAGCATCTTGACTACAGTAGGATCGGATCGATTAACTATTACACAGTCTTAAACATCACATCAGCGCATTCGATCATGGTACATTTAATCTTTTTTTAAACCAAGGTGTGATTAAAACACTCTATAGGGCTTTTAGGCAACCTTTTTAACTCAATAGGCTAAGTAACTTAAATGTCTAGATAAAAACGTTAAAAGCATTATGACAAGCACATAATAATTATGAGGTGTTGATGAACAATATGAAACGGAATGGAAGAATAAAATCATATACCTGATTGGCATGTAGTGTAGTAAAATTCGTATCAAAAAACAAGGTAATAAACTTAAAGTTGTCAAACTTACCCAAGTACTTTATCTCCAGGATGTAAAATACGGCCAAGATGTGATCTAGTATGAATTATACCACAATCCGATTCATTATCGAGCTGGACTAAACCTGTCTCGTTAGATGGATCTTTCATTACCCATACAGAAACTGGTGAGTGTTTTTGAGACAACTTTGCACCGACGGGGTATGAAGTACTTGATGTAGTGTATGACTTTTTGGAAGAATTCATTTGGCTAGAATCATCTCTTTGTTCTTCAATTTCAAGTACGACAAATGGTGAGAAGTGTTTTTGTGTTGTAATTGACATGAATGGAGATGAGAAATAAGCCTTACTGTCTACATAACAAACTAAAAAAAGTAAATTACATACAAAAAACGGTTTTAAAATGAGGCTAAACCAATGTAGTTAGGAGGATAAATATCAATTAGTTAATAGTTAATAAAATTTGTTTAGGGATTCAGAATATTTGGTAGGTATTATTTATCACCTTAAAGTCAAATGAACATTCGCCATGATGCCAAACCAAAATGAAGACACCGATTGTCGAACATCTATCCAAACAACTACTAAAAATCGAACTCCTTACACTATTGGCAAAAAATCTGAATAGTTATGGACGCTGACTGCTGTCAAAACAAACCGACATTTACGTACAATAAAATGTCAAAGAATGAAAAAATGACAATATAAAAATTAAAACCTCAAACATGGAGTAGCTTGTGATTAAAGAAAAAATAAACAACTCACCTTGACAAGTTAAAGGATCAATCAAGTGAATGGCATCGGTAACTTTGCTGACAACACACAACTGACTGATACCACCCAACTTTTGTGACTGAGCTCGAGATAAGCAAACTATGTCATTCTTAGAAAAAAAAGTAGATATGGAGATAGTTTTCAATAAAACAACGAAAGATTACAGAGGATTTAGAAAAACACCTAAACGTAAGTATGACTCATTTTAAAATATATTAGACTCTCACAGGTGATTCCTTCTTTAATGGCCTTAATAGGTTACTGGTAAAAGTCAAAGAATGAAACTTGAATATTGATAGCAGGTGATGATAAACGGTATCTAGATAATGACTGTATCAAAAATGTGGTTATATTTACTTTTTATTTATCTAAACAAATAAATATTGGTACAATGAGGCACCAAAACATATGCGCAAAACAAATCATTTGATTTGTGTCAGGGCTTGGATGCTGTTCGGGCGCCCAAACCGAAGCAGGAGTGAATCAGGAAATGCGATGATTGGCAGTCCCCTACACAATATTATATTTACAATAAGTATTGAAACTAAAAATTTTCCTATTATTATTTAGATTTAAAGATTTGTCAGTTACTTACATCATACAAAAAAAATAGAAATAGACACTCATACGCCAAATCAAGAAACCCGATTTCATTCATATTACTTATCTCTTCAGTATATCAAAACCCTGTTAAATGAATAAAGTTTCAAAAATTTAGTTCCAATAAGTAAGAGCACACGTAAAGACGGTATTAAGTGGGATATATAGATGAAAAGTCACCTGGTACTTAGTGAGTGCTTACCAACATGGAGACTACCGTAAGAGATAAACCAGCCATATATAAATAAAGTTGCTACTACATTCTTAACGGTAATAGTCCAGTTTTGAACAGAATAGTGTAAATTCAGTCTTAAACTATAGAAAATAATGAAATAAGGTTTATTAATGAAATAGTGATTATGTAGAGGATTTCAACAGTTTGCTTAAAACATAGGCCAATTTAAATGAAAAATAGTAATTAATTATTTATTTTAATGATCTCTATGATACACTTACTTTACAAACTGGTGCAATTTCCACAGAAAATGTGTATTTGTAATTATAAGTATTATTGTTTACATCATGCGACTTTAAATGTTGTGCAGTTTGATAGCTGAAGATGAAAACGAACAGAATAATATAAATAAATAAGAGTTGATAGGACATTTTAGAAATGTACCAGAATGAGAACAATACCTAACTCGTATGAAATAATCAGTCAAATCGAATGTTTAAGCGACCGAAAACGTGAACTGAAGTTTAAACTTATGATTTGGATGTTGTGAATTGATTTTTTTAATATCTGAGGGACTTTATGATCAGACTAATGAACAATATTCTTATTTGCACATAATTAAGAACCTCAAAAAACCAATTGTTTCTGTCATAAACAGTGACTTTATTAGACTCGTATTTGGTCAAATATTTAATCAAATGAATTAGTGGAAAATTAAATCATAGATAGATAAATACATGGAATACATTACAGAGAATTTAGAAAAATCACTTATCCATTAACTAGATATATAATGAGGCTGACGAGTGCCATGTAGGACGCAGTATAGGTTCAGTGTCCTAATGATTTTTTGTGTTTAGCTTTTGTTGACAACGTTCTTCATTACGGAATGGGGTTAACAACCCTATCCGCAACCCTCTTATATCCGGTTTTGGGACCGGTAATAATCCTAAAAGGGCTCCAAGTTGACAACTCTCATATAACACCAAAGCCAGGATTTTCAATAAAAACGACAAGACAGATCTATTGTACAAAGCTGGAACTTTGGAAATTACTACAACCAACATCAAAAAAGGACAGATGTCTATAAACATGCCTACTCAAAATACTTCATATCCGTTGGTCGGACACCGTTAGCAACAACCTGCTGTGGCACAGAACAAACCAGATTCCAACTGAAGAGGGAATTATAGAAAGAAGCTGGAGGTGGACAGAACACACATTGAGAGAATTATCAAACTGTATCACAAAGCACTCCCTTACTTGGAACCCTCAAGGCAAAAGGAAAAGAGGCAAACCGAAGGGCATTAAAAGAATAAATAGCACTGGAAAACAATTGGAAAAGGGATTCCAGAACAGAGAAGGTTGGAGATTGCTAATCGGTGGCCTATGCTCCAAGAGGGTTATCGGACTTAAGTAATAAGTAAATTAAGAATATTTTTCAAACCTAATATTTACATGAAACCATGAAGAGTGTATACAGAAAATGCGGAAACGTTTAACATTCAAAAAATACAACATATGTATAATTGAGTGATCCGAAGGTTTAATGACAGATCAAAACCTTGGATAACTGAAATGAACAAAATCAAGGTATCAAAAATCGAGTTACAAAATAATAACCATCGCATTCTAATTAAGTTAATTCTAGAAATTTCGAACTTTCGATAGTGGTTAAAATCAGTTATTATTTAGGCTTTTTTAAGATGAGTGAAGAAAGCAATTCACCGGTTTCTAGACATTAATAATTCCTTAGTTTGTAACTAAATACACGCGGAAATTATGAAAATTGGCAAAAACTTGTATACCACGATACACTGATATTTTATGGTAAACTATGTGTCCAGAACATATTTATAATAAATAGACATAGAGAAAACAGTTACTGCAATAGAAAAAAATATATTACATTGTATATTGAGTAGTGGGTGACATATCTTTTACATTTAATGAGATACATAACTTTTTAATTTCTAATGAAGTGACCCAGTGATTTTCGTTTCGAAAATTTTCTTCTTGGTATTGACAACCATCAAGAGACATTTTTATTAGAAATAGGGTGGTATACAAAAATGTTAATAAAAAACCAATAAAACAATCATATTGGAATTCGAACATTGAATAAAGAAAATTTTATTACAGGAGCTATGATTTAACCAGCTCGAATGATGACTGAATAGCATCTTGTATTAATCAATGGAACTTTAACACACAATACGTGAGTTAGACCAAGAGCATGTGAACTTTCAGTCAATGCATATGCTATAATCACTATTTTATTAGTCCAGTAAAGAATTCTAAAATTTCTTGATAACCAAGCTGCAACTAAAATAGTGACTTGATAGGAAATTGACTAATTTTACTGAACTTTATTTTTGAAGTTCAAGAAAATTCTGATGGAATTTATTTGAGATAAGAGTATGCTTTAAGCCAGACGGTGTAGAGAAGAATAAGAACCAATATCACATTAGGTAACGTTTTTAAGTATTACTGCCACTTTTAATTATTCAAATCCCAGAAAACTATTATATCTTCAGAAAAATAGATGAAAAATTCGATCTATAGGTAAAACAAAATGCAACAGAGAATCGATTAATCTATGTTATCAATGCTTCAGGAGTATGAGAAATAAACGGGATTGTTAACTGTATCAAAAAAGGAACGAAGCTCTAAAGACAAAGGATTGAAGTATATATAATCAGTGAATTTAAGAAATTAAAAATAAGATGGCAAAATTATCTACTTACCGGCAAGGAGAACGTTTGGAGAGAAAATTCACAAACGTGACTGCTTGTGAACGAGTGCTGAAAAAGAAGTCAATACCTCCTGAAAATTGTAAGAAGAAAACCAGGTATAAAAGGAAGAAAAATTATAGGCAAGTTGAAATATTCAGGGTATCCCTATAAAATTGGGGTCGTAAATATACCTAGACAACGTGAAATTCGCATATTGTAGCCATACTACTTATGAGCACCCAGAATTGTTTCTTGTAGTTTGCTGATTAAACCGTAGATAAACTGACTGCTTTCTTATTGATTAATATATGTTCCAATGAGACAGCCCTATTGAATCGGTCATAAATGTGCCTGTCTGTGTTGAAAAGTGACTGTTGTTTCTGAATTTACTTCCTTGAATGTGAGTTTTAAGCTAATTACTGTCTATTGTAGAATCATTTATTACTTATATATTTTAATATATAAATATTTACGAGAAGCCAAAATGGTCTTATGACTTTATTTGACCTCTGGCGAATCTGACAGTTATTTAAGCAAACGTCAACAATACCACGACGAAATGGCCAGGATCATACATGCAGCTGGAGAAAGAAGAGAATTTCAACACAAACCATCGTGCAAACATTTATGCAAAGTAAATAGAACTGCAATTAGTCAAGCTCAGAATACAGCTTGAAAAATGGATTAGGTTGCAGAAGCTACGAGATCAGTTTCTGACTCTCATGAGGTTCGTGTAATTAAAAGGTTTAATGAACCTATATATAACGTGTTTTAGAATTTATTAAGTCAAAACTTCAGAAGTTTGATGATAATCGAAAAAAGTAATGGGCTTTTATGAAGGAATTTCAAAAAGATGTTAAGCAAATAACGAGCGATGACTTTAAATAACTCAATTATCTAGTTCATTTTTATACAGGACAAGCTAAAAAAGACAGAATTGTATCATAAAGAATAGCACCGAGAGATTTAGGTTAGCTAAGAAAATAATGAGGAAGCGATTCGGACATCTTATGATTGCTGGGTCTTTCACAAACTAAGTAATTGACGAACAACTAATTAAAATGAAAAACTGATATCTTTGTGCAATCTGAAATAGATGTAAGCTTCTGAAATCAGGTATGAAAGAATCAAGTTAGGAATCCGATCTAAATGCTAATAGGATGTTAAAAACCATAGTTAAATTATTACCGTGGAATCTCTGAATTAAGTAGGCAGAGGTGGTGATACAGTGAGCCAATCAGAAGTACCTAAGTGGGGTCACTAGGTGACAGACAGAAATGACCTGAAGGACAACCGCATATCACTGATTAAGAAATAGACTGATTTTCTAAGGGTTGATAATATATATATATATATATATATATATATATATATATATATAGTAGTCAGTTAGGGGACGGTGTTACGGTGTAGCACGTGGGGTATCTGTTACAATTTCTCTTATTACGACTCAGCTATTCCTATTGCTTAGTAATCATGGACACTACTTCACTCGACAAGTCCCCAAATTAGAACACGATTGAACATGAACGAATTATATCCCAAATAAAAAGGTTGGATGGATACCATCGGATACCATCCATCACAACAGATGGCTATGAAATACACTTGACAAGGCAGGAAACCTAACTTTGAATGCAACTTGTCATGCAGTGAAATACAGTAACCTGCCGACGAACCTTGTATGACTCTTAATGTCAATATTTTTGTCTAATTGATTTGAACCACTGACATATTGGGTTGACATTCGAATTGTACTAAAACTACTAAATCTCAATTTACTAACTAACAACCTTAGTACAGGATAGTGTGATTGAAAAATATTGGAATTACATTTAAAATAGAAATTAATAAACACGAACAACTTTAAACCTTATAATACTAACAGTCGACCTTACCAGTCACATAGTAAGTATAACAAATATATTTTCTAGCGGAGCTTTTCTAGTCAATTCGGGTATTCTTTTAATGTGGTTTCACAAGGAAAAGTCAATGTCGAAATCTATGCTTATGAGAACTCAGACTAGTATAGGAATCAAGCAATAATATTCAAGACCCGAATCACAAATACTTACCATCATATCAAAGTAAATAACTACCTACCTGAAACTTGCTTGATATTTGAACAAGTTTTATGTGCACCAGACCGAAGAATGACTTGTTCTAAATGCAATAGTGTTTTTTTATGATCGACCTAAAGGACGAAATATCGAGATTTAGAACATGTGAATTCATTGGAGAAATTTTACAATGAATCGTAAGTAAGGTGACCCGAAACGTATGTTAGTCTACTGACAATACTTATTTGCCAAAACTCTAGTACGGACAGTCAGTCAGCTACAACGTAGGACCAGGCACATATGTGCATCGGTCCAGGTTGCCATACCTCATTAGCACAGCAAGATGAACACCGGATTCATAGGAGTGGTTAGGTCAAAGGTTGCAATAAGGATATAGTATAGGAAGAAAGAATTAGTTCGTAGACAGAAAGAATGAAGTGATTTTAGTCTCTTAGTTTAAGGAAAGACAGGGAGTGTATACACCGACGCCATTGTGATCGATTCTGAGCCATGTCACCAAGAGTCTCCAACCATTGGTTGCGAAAGTCACGCGGACCCCAACCAAGTAGTCTGCATCTACCAACGTGGCTCAGACTAGAAGTTAGTGACTTCAGGCACTGATGCCACGTTTTGGTTTGACCGCCCCTAACTTTCTTCCAACCATCCCCTACCCCGGTTAGCATTGCACGTCGTGGTAATCGGTGTTCAGGCATACGTAATACGTGGCCCAACCATCTCAGTCGATGAAGATTCATAACCTCATCAACTGATTTACCATCATTCCCTAATACCCTGCGTCTAACCTCACTATTACTTACCCGGTGATCCCAGCAGATGCCAGCAATATTTCTAAGGCATCTGTGGTCAAATACTAGTAGCTTACGGGTGTCTTCTACTCTTAAGGGCCATGTTTCGCTGCCGTAAATCGAAACAGAACGAACTGCCGCGCAGTATACTCGTCCTCTTATTGATAGACGGATATCTCGCCTTCGCCAAAGGTGACGCAAGTTGGCAAAAGCCAAACGAGCTTTTCGAATCCGTGCTGAGATTTCGTCCGATACCAACCCATTAGGGCTGATCACACTTCCAAGATAAGTGAAGTTATCAACGCGTTCGACTACTTCACTCCCTATCCTTAGTTAGTACGGACAATGGAAAGAGAACCTGATTCATGACACAAGCAAGATGATTCCGTTGAGTGAATGGTGCTGGGTGCCTTTAACAATCTTAAAAATGAATTACCACATTAACAGCTAAGTAATTTACAAATTGTATATCGATCCTTTTTTGCAGTCATCGTTTCCATCACACAAATGTATCGACTAGTTTAAAATAAGGACCAACGAACAAACCAGAAGCTAGAATATACGGAAAAGTATCGATACAGGAGTGATAAAACTAAGTGTCTGAGCTCATTTGCTAACCAGCATTGTAATGGAAACTTATACTTGTAAGCAACAAAATTAGGAAGGTATTCAGAAGTTTAACCCGTGTTTACAATCTGAAAGCATGCGAAAGACATATTAAAAGTACTTAAAACGAATTCTATGAAAACATTTTTTAAAGGAACGACTGGTAGTATGACCATATAAGTAAAAACAAATGATCTACCGGATGAGACATAAAACCCCGACAGTCAGTTGATGGTAATTCAGTGGAACTGGCTTAACAAGTACGGGTTTGTTAAATGGGTTTTGAGCCATACTTATTGTTTCAGGATCAGAGATATAAAACAGCTGGTCAAGTTAAGATTAAGTCGATACCAAGGATCATCACTATAAGGTATATAAAACAAACGAACATCAGTTACTAATAACCATATAATTAACAACGAAATGTCTATTTATCGCTAAATTTCCTTCAAACAAAATGAAGCTTACTTTTTGACGAACTTGGACGCAGGCATTCCAAAAATCTTTGGCAGCGTTACGAGTACATGAGGTACATTGTTGAGTGTGAACTGTGAAATTGATTGGAATTTGCTGTTCAACACGATCACCTGTTTGTAATGTTCCCTGCACGGTTATCTAGAATATTCCCAAGACGTTAGATTTGAAGTTTAATATGTTTAAAAACCAATAAAATTTAGGGTTATTGAGGAAATATTTATTTGATACCGAATTTTCTCCAGAAATGAACATTCACTCTACATTTATACACATAATTCTAGTAATCGAAATACTTATGTAGTTATGTGTTAGTAAAGGATTGGTATTTTACAGTATTACCCAGAATATCCAAAACCCACTTTTTACCCACTTTAAGTGCTGTCATAGTACAGAATAATGGCAATCTGTAGTTTTGTGATAATAATACGATTAGTTTCTACACCATCTAATTTTTAACAGAAACCCAAAAAATTCAGAAGTTTAAGGCTTTTAGATAGAATGTTGATATACAGTATGTAAACGAAAGTGTACTCTTAAACAGCGATCTCAATACTTTATCTACCTTCAAAGTAGATACACTAACGAATCTAAATAAAATATCTAGTAGTTCAACTTTTCAAGATATTCAGAGACGTAAGGGAAATAAAAAACAAAAAGAAGTGTTTCTGCTTAGCCCCAAATGCCCTGGTGTGGCCGAGAGTGGGATGGGCCCGCCCTCCCTCTCGAAATGCTCTCACACGGCCACGCGTACACAGCCTCTACCAGGGAAGTCATACTCACTACCTTCTTGTGGCGGGGGTGTTGTTTACAAAGGTCTGGGAACTAGAGAGTGTACCAACGTCATGGAATGAGTCGATAGTTGTCCCTATCTTTAAAAAGGGTTCACGTCGTTCCTGTAACAACTATCGGGGGATAAGTCTACTCCCGATTGCGTCCAAAATATTGGCTTCTATCATACTTCGCACGTTGTTCAAAACCCGAGAAAGATTGACTCGTGAGGAGCAGGCTGGTTTTCGTTCTCGTCCAAGATGTGTTAACCATATCTTCACCCTACGCTAAATGTTAGAACACCGCCATACTTTTCAAAGGCCAACAATCGTAGTGTTTCTTGACATCAGAGCTGCCTTCGATTCGTTGGACAGGGCTGTTCTCTGGGATTGAAGAAGGGTGTGTCTGAGAAGTTTATTAACATCCTAAAAGCCCTATATACAAACACCTCAGGCAGAGTGAGGGCATACAACCACCTCTCTCCATTGTTCCATTCGAGCAGTGGGGTTAGGCAGGGTTGCCCAATCTCACCATTACTCTTCAACTTTGCCATCGATAACATTCTGGAAACAGCTCTGATGGATATAAGTAATGGCGGTGTGGATCTGTTGCCTGGAGAAAGACTTCTCGACCTTGAGTATGCAGATTATATTGTCTTACTGTGCGATAATGCCCAAGGCATGCAAACCACACTTAATCAGTTGGCAATCAGTGTCCGTAGGTATGGTATGTGCTTTGCACCTTCGAAGTGCAAAGTACTTCTACAAGACTGGCGGGATTCTAATCCTGTACTCACCCTGGATGGTGAGCAGATAGAAGTAGTCGAGAAGTTCGTGTATCTAGGGGGCTGCATAAGTGCTGGTGGGGGTGTGAGTGATGAGATCAATGCACGTATAGTGAAAGCCAGAGCGGCTTATGTCAATCTGGGCCATCTTTGGTGCCTTCGTGATGTTAGTCTGGCTGTAAAACGTCGGATCTACAACGCGTCGGTGAGAGCAGTTTTGCTCTATGCTTGTGAAACCTAGCCTCTCCGAGTCGGGGATGTTAGATGACTCTGTGTCCGATCATCGCTGTCTCCGAAAGACTGCTGACATCCAGTGGCAACACCATGTTAGTAATGCAGAGGTTCGGCATCGTGTGTTCGGGGACAGAGACGATAATCCGATTGGTGTCACCCTCTTGAAACACTAACTTCGGGGGCTTGGACATGTCCTACGAATGTCGTTCCAGAGAATTCCACGTCGTGCATCAGTTGCCGACGCTGGGACTGCTTAGAAGAAACGGAGAGGTGGCCAGTATATGACATGGTATCGTGGTATGAAATAAAAATGCAAAGGGCTGGCGTGTGTTGGTCCTTCACGACTCCCTGGCTGGGGTCCTAGAGATGGTGCAACACAGTGGCTAGAGACGTTATTAGATAAGGCTCAGAATAGAAGCCAGTGGCGATCCTGCTGTAACCTTCTTTTACTTTCTTCGTAAAAAGTGGTTGTACCTTCCTTAACTGAAAAATTTTTTCTGGTTGTACCTTTCCGTTTCCCCCACTATTACTGTTATTATTACACTACCTTACACTAATCTGGTCGTTATCCTTTTTTTCTTTTACACTTCTTACCTTCCTTTTTTTCTCTTCGAATTCTCATTGTTTTGTGTGGCACATATATATTTGGTGCCCTCCCGTACCAATATTTACGTGTTCAAATAAATAATTAATTAAATTTACTGATTACTAGCTACAGAAATTATCAACTGAGCAATTGTTGCTTGAACGGGAAGCCATAGATAAATATGAAACGAATACATTGAAGGTCAAATGGAAAAAGTTAACGCTGAATAAGTTAATGCCCAATGTTAGTGAATGACAATCACTTTAAATCAACATACAGACTTTGAAGATAATTTCGCCATATTACGTTGCATTCAGGAACACAATTAAGACAAATTCCATTTTCCGTCGTGATATATATTTATATATGTAACAGAATGTTTGTTTTTAGAGATGAATTTGTACCAATCGACTCTGCTTGTATTGAAAGTTATCTATGAACATAAGTACGAAGAGAGCAGCCAAACAGAAAACTATCAAATGGACAGTATCTTTCTACATTCATTACTCAGAATACAGTGCCTGCAGTCAGCCATTAGTCTAGTCCACAATATATGCCCACGATAAGCGAACATGTGAATGAATTTGTACTACTAGAATGATGTAACACAGTTAATGATCTCGATTATTTAGACAATCACCTTAAATTCGTTAGTTTAGCAACAAACTGTTCAGACAAAAAGCAAAACAGATAAATTAGTACCTCTATAGATATTCTTCTACTATGAGGCTCCGTCCAGATAAACCTAGCATTCCGAACTTCCAAACCTTTCTTCAGTCCACGGATCTTCTTGATGCATAATGAAAGCAATTCTGGTGACTCTGGTTCGGCAGAAACCCAATTAGATGGTGGATTTAAATAACTGAAAGCAATAACAGAAGGCATGTATCCTACCGTTCACACTTCGGACAAAAAGTCACAGTATTCTGACGGTCGATATGTTCAGCAATGTCTGCTTCACTGGATAGGCATGTGAAGCACATGTTTGCAGTATTAGAATAAATTTGAACGCCACATTTGCAGCAGAGACTATATTCAAGTAATTTCTAGTTTTTAACTTACATTAAAGATAAACCTTGATCAGCCATCTTTTACGAATGGATTTCGAGGTATAACACAAGTAAATATTTATTTAGTGGCTGAAAAGGAAACGGATTTAAAAATAAGAAATAGAGTTCATTAGCGAACTACAAGGATGTGGAATAATGATTTGGTGGCATTTAGAACAAAACTGACCTGGTTAGAAAGATTAGCATAAGCTGACCATGCTAAATAACTACTAAATCTTGATAGATTGAACAGTCCTCCGTAACTTGACTGCCTAGTTTTCGTTTGTCCCTTACGAATGCCCGTGAATCGTACATGTTGTTAACTGCCTACTTGCTAATGTACAAAACGCAACAACATACATCCAAAGGGATATTCATGACTAAATTTAAAAACCCCTTGACTGAATAAAGAACTCATGTTCGAAATGCAGTGCTTGGTAGAAATCTAGCAATTTGACTGCTGTCGTACGCACATGATCACCTTGTTCGCTTACAAAATCAATCATGGATAAATCGTCACAGATCTATCTGGAATTGATTTCCATTCTGGGCACTAGACAATACTTAGTAGGGGTAGCAATAACTCAAGTTTATTATTTAACGTTAGCGCAATTGTTCGAAAGTACTATTTCCTTAAAAATACCTAACATCTATGAAAATTTACATCCAACAGAAAACAGAATTTACTGATTTCAATATACAGTAGCTAGAAGTCTACCCGCATCCAAACACACGTGATGTCCTTCCTTTCAAATGTGTGAGACCTTGATAATCTTAATAACAGATTCGATTAACAACTATTATTTCTGGGACACAGAAAACGCTGTTTCTTAACATCGACATCTCAGGTTTTAGTTATATAAAATATCGATTCTGATTGCAATGCAGCAATGAGACGCAACTGTTCTTCTTTCACTCACATCATAATGTTATAGAAGGATTCTAGATCTTTGATACCACCCAGTCTGGTCACTTCTGTTCAGCATTCTAAGTGAATTTGAAAAAAGTCAAGAATTTAACGATGCCACAGGTATGTAATGTTCCACTCCTCTGGTAATATATTGGCCTTCACTGAAGCCAGAATTAGCTATATGGGATTGACATAACGACGGACAGTACAAATCTATCAGTCGGAAGCGAATTGTCTGACCCAAAGTTCCACCACCACCTAGAAAGTGCGCCAATGCCATCGCCTGACATGGCAAACGGAGTAACGCTTTGCCACTAACCATCCTTAGAATTCGCTTAACCATTAAAATAAGTACCTACTCCCAATCATCTGAGCAAGTCCACGGCACAACTCTGAAATCAGCACGACAACTGGCCAACGGTGACAAAAAAACAGTCAATGAAACACGTTTCACCGGTTGTTCATTGCAGACTGTGCGGCCGAATAAAGCGATACCTTCAGGAACAACGGTCGTCTGGAATTTTCGAAAGACATCTGCAGACGTGCAAATTCATTTTTGTTCGCATTTGTGCCATTAGAAAACCATTTATACTATTTTATGGAGGACCATGACACTTCACCATCGACGAGAATGAAGGGAGGGAAACCATCTAGATAGACAGCATAAAACCTGCTTTTTACAACGATTAACGGAAGAAAATACTATTTTAGGTTAACAACTTCCACTGTTTGATACAATAAAGCCAAAGAACCACGAGAAACCAAGTAGTGATTATATATTCTCAACACGTCCAGGAAGGAAAGTTAAAAACATACACGCTATTTTCATTTTGTCAATTAAAAAAGAACGAAATTAATACTGTGGAAAAAAGAATGCTCATTCCATCCGGCAACGAACATGACCCCGGTAAACTATCTACTGATAGCCTATAAATTTTAGTAGCTTATGGTTGCATTTCTTTACACCAGATTCACACAATGCACAGTGAATGTAACTCTGAAAAATTGTTCTTTCAATTGATTGCCATTTTTCCTCGCCTCTTAAACGGTAAACGGTACAACTGCCTATAGAAAAATAACGAAATATGGAAGCGAAGTGAAGATTATAATAATTCTGCATGAATGTATGAGCGTTACTGAAAATTCACATAAAACAGATGGGTATACGTTTATATACCGTGTGGCAGATAGAAAGTTCACTACACAGTGAGAAGTTAGATACCCTTCAGATAATTGTGATATAAGCAGTGTACACTAACAAGACGATCTGCTTCACTACCTATTGTTCTCCAGATTTTGACACCGTCTGTAATAAAAGGCATCCACAACTAATGCAGTTTCGGGTATTTATTGACATAAATAATAAGAAGTAGGTGATTCAGGGTGATGACTTGGAGTACGCCACTTTTGACCGACTTACCATTTATCCTCACATTGTCTTCAGCCATAGAGGAATTTCCTTATCCACTATTGTACAACACTCATTATTCCAAAGCTCAAGAGCTCCTGCATAAGCCTCAAGTAGGAAACCTTATCATATGCTTTGCTGAAATCTATGGATATCATATCAAGAGGTAAACCATTAAATTGGTTTTCTGTCCAATCCTCTCTCAGAATTAGTAAGTTGGTTAAGCATGATGCCTATTCCGAAACCCATGTTACTCGGGCGTTGACAGATTGTATGATTCTGTGCGGTTTAGTAACATAACCTCTGTGCTGGTTAGACTGGCAAGTCAGTAGTTATACACGATCTCTCTATACTTAAATATAGAGCTATTCATAGCATCCTATGGACTCTCACGGAGTTGGGTTAACCAAAGTGACATATGATTTGTTCCGAAATAATGTGCGTGAAGAGTGACAGTTATCGTGAACGTAAGTCATCAGGAGCCATTCACTGATTAGGTCTGAGGTTGACGATCAATCGAAGAACAGTTTCCTTAATAATGTGTACAAGTCCCATAGCTGGTAGCGCAGTGATATAGTTATGACAAGTAATGTTGACAATTCTCGCGGAGTAGGCGTAACTGAAGTAGTCTGATAATAACTCAGCCTTGGCCAGATTTTATTCGGCTAGTATACCTGAGTTTTCGTGCGAAAAAAATGAAGGAACACCATCAATACTCTTTTTTTCGTTCAATATACGACAACAATTGTTTTGGGAGGGTGTGGCTATCATGTGCCAACAATCTTTCCTATGTGATGTGACATCTAGTTAAGCTATTTACACATATATTGCGTATTTTTCGGTATCCATGCTTTAATGATCAGTGGTCTGTAGGTAAAAACAAGTTGCAGAAGTGTTTTCTACGCCTCAGCAACTTTTGAGTCCCCTTATCGATCCATATGGGCAGTATAATAGCCCAAATTTTGACCATGGGATGAATGGCAAAGTTATAGACTCGGATGTGGCTCCAAACTTATTCCATTCGTCTTCCATCGATCAGTCTGCAGTGACCGACCAACCTTATGAGATGGCACAGACTCTGATTAAGGGAATGTTAGCCCACCAGATAATTAGATGGGGTGAAGCAGGTATGTACTGTATATTATGTGTTCTGAACCTAAAGTACAGTATAACGTGGTCACTGGTTGCTAGTGAGGGAAGTATTTAATGTCGTTCTGATCATCATACTGGTGTATTAAGGCGAAGTCCAAGAAGAGCGATTCGTCGCTAATTCAATAAGTGTCAGTTTTGCGATGCATTATACCATTGAGCATCGAATAATGATTGACAGTCGGCCTCTGTTAAAACATCCACCTGAAGTTGCAACCTCCATCTGGTTGATATGCAGCCCACTGAAATCTCCGACGACGAGGCAATTATCGACCTAACTCTGAGAACAGATATGACTGAAAGAAAAGCCGTCAACAAGACAGTGTGGACTACGGATTTTTACTTCTACAGTCACTAACCCACAACCATACAACAAGCTACCTAGTATGTGCCACAATCATGCGTCTCTGATATGCTCGACTGTACGGGAAAGTGATCTCTGAAGTATAGTATTATACCATTACCCTTACACTTTATAACTATATCATTTCTAATACAGATGTAACGTTCAATGGTTGGACAACAGTCTATATCTACAATGAGCAACTTTTTTGTGACAACAATTATATCGGAACCTAATTAACTATGATGATTAGAAGTATTCAAATTATTGTATGAACTAGGAATCACTGGAACAGTGTAATTTATGCCAAACACAACTAGGTGAGCACAAGCGAACGAATTGTATTTAGAATTCGAACCCAACCACAAATCAAGTACAAAATAATAATTAGTTCATACAAACACCACATTCACTTATTGTCAAACCAAACTCGGACATTTTATTTCTAACACTACAAGCATTTTCGTAGCGTACATTTAAGATGTTTCGAGAACCACTCAATCTGCCCTTACAAAGCTCGGAATCATTGACATCCATGACCTGACTACTCAAAAACCGTGGATCTTAAGACTTGTTTCGTCATCTTGCCTCCGAGTTTTAACTCGGTAGAGACATTCTTCCACTTGATTTGATTCTCAAGTGACCAATCTGGTCAGATACTAATACATAGATAGCGAGTTTTGTGTGCGTTATTTTCTATAATGTCCCCTTCTTCATAACTTCCGAGTACTAACTTCAAGATCATTCTTCATGAAGTTTCATTTCATTCCGCTTTCCGAGTCCTATTACTTCAGTAATATGTACTCCTGAAACTCCTTGTTGTATATTTCTGATAGCAGATCCTACTAACTCCAAATAGTGCTCATGTCCTTGGGTAGGGTCGTTTACTCTTGGCTCCTCCAGACTCCAAATAATAAAACCGGTAAAAGATTTGACTTCTTTGAAAACCGTATTCAAAGCTCTCAATTGCGTTGCCATTTCTTGACTATGAACTTATGAAAGCTTTTCTTTAGCTTCTTTTGGATCCGAGCGGTTTGATTTGAGAAAATTACTCATTATAATATACGAGTAGATCAAACTTTCCAACCACAATAGGATTAAGTCTAGTCTTGCTTCGGGACCTTGATGGAGTATTCTGTGACTTGGATTTTTTGTCTACCACAGATTTAACAACCGAATGGCGTTGCTTGTGGCCACTTTCCAATCCTTGTTTATTTTTAAAGGCACACATAAATATGCACTAAGAAATGTTGAGATAGAAATTGTGTTTTTTGAAGTGACTCGCAGGATTTTAAGACATCAGCAGAATACCTTGACATCCGAACTCTGAAAGACTACGCAAACCCACACACTTTTAACTGACCTCTAGCACTTCAAATGAGGAATGTCCGCGTGAATCTGACTACTCAAGGTTGTTGAAATAAAACAGGGTTGGATTTAATTGTATGGGATTGAAGTGGGCTTGATAAGTAAGTCTTGTGTTTTCTTGTCTACTTACTTCCACTGCCACGCATATATATTTTGTCACATTTTGATTGTGCTTCGTACTCAAATTTAGGTTTAAAAATGTCTCAGCCGAGATTTACTAGAGTAGTAGATACAGTGGTATCATATCCCTATATGGAGTGTTTTTTCTTACTGCCATTGAAGTAATTGCTTCTGTAAACTTATTGTTCATCTTGTGTTAATGAGGTATGGCAACTTGAACTGATGCATATATGTGTCGATCTGGTTCTACGTTGTAGCTGACTGGATGACTCAACTATCTACTAGGAAGCTTCATGTTATTAGTGAAATGTATTTATTGTGAAACGTCAAGCATGATGTAATACAAACGCCAAAGAGCTTAAATTTCTATTTCATGAAATCTTAGGGCATTCGAATTGAATTTAAAGGATGTAAGACCGCGGATAGATAATTCATTCGTGGCTAAGTTTTTATTTATTTATTTTAACACATAGATATTGCAACAGGGAGGCACCGAATACATATAAGCCACACAAGTCACTTGGTTTGCGAGTAGGCTGTGATACTGCCCGGGTGCCCAAACCGAATCAGGTGGTTTTCTTAGGGGTCAGTCAGTCAGCTACAACGTAGGACCAGGCACATATGTGCATCGATCCAGGTTGCCATACCTCATTAGCACAGCAAGATGAACACCGGATTCATAGGATTGGTTAGGTCAAAGGTTGCAATAAGGATATAGTATAGGAAGAAAGAATTAGTTCGTAGACAGAAAGAATGAAGTGATTTTAGTCTCTTAGTTTAAGGAAAGACAGGGAGTGTATACACCGACGCCATTGTGATCGATTCTGAGCCATGTCACCAAGAGTCTCCAACCATTGGTTGCGAAAGTCACGCGGACCCCAACCAAGTAGTCTGCATCTACCAACGTGGCTCAGACTAGAAGTTAGTGACTTCAGGCACTGATGCCACGTTTTGGTTTGACCGCCCCTAACTTTCTTCCAACCATCCCCTACCCCGGTTAGCATTGCACGTCGTGGTAATCGGTGTTCAGGCATACGTAATACGTGGCCCAACCATCTCAGTCGATGAAGATTCATAACCTCATCAACTGATTTACCATCATTCCCTAATACCCTGCGTCTAACCTCGCTATTACTTACCCGGTGATCCCAGCAGATACCAGCAATATTTCTAAGGCATCTGTGGTCAAATACTAGTAGCTTACGGGTGTCTTCTACTCTTAAGGGCCATGTTTCGCTGCCGTAAATCGAAACAGAACGAACTGCCGCGCAGTATACTCGTCCTCTTATTGATAGACGGATATCTCGCCTTCGCCAAAGGTGACGCAAGTTGGCAAAAGCCAAACGAGCTTTTCGAATCCGTGCTGAGATTTCGTCCGATACCAACCCATTAGGGCTGATCACACTTCCAAGATAAGTGAAGTTATCAACGCGTTCGACTACTTCACTCCCTATCCTTAGTTCAGGTGTTGACGCAGACCAGGGGGGGCCACACCCGGAGCCTTCGACCTGAAGGTCTGATCCACAGGGTAGTGGAGCATCGTAAGGAGATGCAGTCCCATGGAAGCCGGTGACCAACGATTGGTTCATAGGCCATTTGTCACTTCAGGATACTGAAGCCCATGTGCACCACTGGTTTGAAGTCAGGGTTTTCCAACTCCCCATAGGTGTGTACAAGATGTGAACTACTGGCTGGTGCATAAATAAATCTTCAATCTTACACTTCCTGAGTCAATCCATATCAGTCTTATTCTATTTATCTAAGTAGAAAGAAACTAGCGTCCGCAGAATATTTATACTCTACTCGTTTCCATTGTCTTCCGTGTCGAGGTAATTTAATCTATTCAACACTATTGTTTGTTATGAAGCATCTGGTACAGGTATTTTGTCGACTTTCAGTTGTTACATCATAAAGTAAAATTTTGTACCATTTATTAGGACTTGATTGCTACATAGAGTTTTTAGCACCTGTAATCTTTTAAGCTATGTGTGATTACTGGTTATTCTTTACAAAAAATATTTTGTAGGTAAATAAACCATTTGTTATGTTTAGGAATCTAAAACTTACTTATCGTGTTTTCATTTTCTCCAAATTGTTCAGATTTCTTTGTTCTATTTTGGATTGATTGGACTCATTTTTATCAAGTGTTGTGAACCAGTACATTTTCAGTTACGGTTGTTGACTTCCTAACTACTGTTTACCAAGTATGATAATTGTAATTAACTCTGTTTCTACTCACGTGTTTAGGTTGAGTAATGACAATTTCGTCGATAGTAGAGCATAGTAGCCACACATGTAGCCGATTTCAAGTCACGCCTAATTCATTCAGCTTTAATCGTCAATATACCCAGATCTATTTGGCACGTCTTACTGCAGCCAAGGCAGTGTTGAAAACGTTGGCTGAACAGAGATGGTCAACTTCATCTACAAAATCTGAGGCTTCGCATTTCCCCGTTCGAACATTAGCTGAGCTAAATGGAGATGAAAAATGCATAATAATCGGCACACTTTTCAAGGTACAAGTTTGCTTTCGAAAATTCCTACCATTATTTATTGTGCTTTAGAAGCGTAGATCTTTCATTATAACTTCTCTTGATGTTATTTTTATACAAAGTATTCATTAATTATTTCCATGAGCGATTTGCGGAGCAATCTAATACTGACCGGAGCACTAATCAAATACCAGTCAGTTAGTCAGCAACAACGTAGAACTTCGTACGTACGTGCATTAATACCAGTTGCCATACCACATTAACACAGAGATGTAATTGTCGATTCAAATCCCGTAGTGGTAGAGGTAGCAAAAGTATAAGCAGTGACCGGAAAGATTAGGGTTTGAAGATGTTATTCAATAACTATAATCCAGTGAAATAAATTTGGAAAGAGAAAAAAAGAGACAAGGAGGAATCAGGAGATTAGAACTTGGAAGAACACAAAGAATGGATGCACCTGCGCCATTGCAAACCATTTTGGGCCATGTCATTCAGGGTCTTTAACCATCGGTTGCTATCATCTCGCGGTCCTCAACCAGGTAGTCTACACCTACCAATATGACTCAGTCCACTTGTCAGTGACTTCATGGACTTGTGCCATGTTTTGGTCTGGCCGCCCCTAGCTTCCTTCCAATCTAATCCTACACCATAAAACATCGTACGTTGAGGCATTCGGTGGTTGAGCATACATAACACGTGTCCCAGCCATCTCAACTGATGAAGTTTCACTGCGTCATCAATCGATTTGCCATCCTTACCTAGTACCCGTTTCCTAACAACTGCTTTACTTACTCGATGGTCCCAGGATATACGAGTAATGTTTCGAAGACACATATGATCGAATACTAGTAACCTGCTAATATTCTCTACTCTTACCAGCCACATTTCATTGCCATAAAGTAGGACGGAACGAACTGCTGCGCAGTAAACACGTCCTTTGGTTGATAGACGGATATCTGGCCTACGTCATAAATGACGCAAGTTGGTAAAAGCTAGTCGAGCCTTTTGTATCCGTGTTGGGGCACCTTGTAATAGCTACACTCTGAACTCCATATCAGTGAATGGAAACAGATAGGGTTTTTTACCTATTTGTCTGGACACTAGGCTAGCAGCTTTATATTTGAAGCTTACAAAATGATTCTATATTTTTCGAACCGAGTAACAATGTAGTGTAGTGAATCGATACGCCGGACCAAAACATGGCACAAGTCCATGAAGTCACTGACAAGTGGACTGAGTCATATTGGTAGGTGTAGACTACCTGGTTGAGGACCGCGAGATGATAGCAACCGATGGTTAAAGACCCTGAATGACATGGCCCAAAATGGTTTGCAATGGCGCAGGTGCATCCATTCTTTGTGTTCTTCCAAGTTCTAATCTCCTGATTCCTCCTTGTCTCTTTTTTTCTCTTTCCAAATTTATTTCACTGGATTATAGTTATTGAATAACATCTTCAAACCCTAATCTTTCCGGTCACTGCTTATACTTTTGCTACCTCTACCACTACGGGATTTGAATCGACAATTACATCTCTGTGTTAATGTGGTATGGCAACTGGTATTGATGCACGTACGTACGAAGTTCTACGTTGTTACTGACTGACTGATTACAAGGTGGTAAGTCTAGTATTGAAAGTTTTGTGGTTTATTTTTACACGCAGTTTTTAAATTTATGGTTAGTTCTATAATTTCGTTTAGTGATTGTAAACATTGACAAGGAATATCTAGCAAACAAGATTTTTTCCCAATAAACTGTTATGTTTATTTCACGGTAAATATTGAAGTACCACTCAAATAATCGTAGATTGTTAGAGGACTTAATTTTATTTCAAATCATTACCGAAACATTCTGTTTTTTCACTCTAGGAAATGCGTTTAAAACCTAGTGTACTACATGATATTGCAGCGGTAGAAATTGAAAATGTTGAATCAGACATTCGCATTTCTTCAACTGATACTCACTCTTTGGTTCATCTCACATCGGACGATGATTTACTTTTTCTTGAAGATGAAGTACAACGTATTGCTTTGAGTTTTTGTAGCCAGATTTCAAAACTTTGGTCTCCAGCTAATCTGGTTACAGGAGTTGTAGTTGCAGCTCTTGGTTACGAGCCTGAATCTCAACCCGGTAATTTCATAATATGCTCTATATTCATGAATACCTCTACTCATTTTTCATGTTCATGTTCATTCTGATGATCGATGTAAACAAGCACAGAATTTAGTCAAGTGATTTTCAGCACTCATCGGATCACAAACTGGTGAGCACTCGACACATCTTCATGATTGTTATTTAACTAAATGTATAAACCGAAGCGAATTCCTAGTTAACATCTGCAAATCAATTTGCACATGTTTTCTAAATTCAACAAATATACTTTATGAGCAAATAAGCTGCGTTTTCGAAAGACGACTCTTAATTCAGCAGAGTTTCCATGTTTTAGACATAAATTTTCTTCCAACAATGATTGTCATAAAGTTAAATTAGTACTTTGTTTATTTCTTTATTGTTACCATAAGATAAAAAAAACAGGTTGTACATTAAGATTCGTAATCGTACATATTCAGGAAGTGTGTTATCAAAATCGAGCTTCATTCCTAGTATAGATATTTCCCTCATGTTAGCGTTTTACGTTAAGCTACAAAAGATGTTCTTCAACTCTTACAGCTTTGATGAGTATCAGCAATACCCAGCTGACATTATGCATAATTTACTTTTTATTTAGGTTATTTCATTATTAAACATTTGTAGAAACTAATCATACTCATACTTTACATATTGTAAATAACTGTTTTGCGAAGGCGAAAGTATATGTAATTTCTTCAATGAAACAAGTGATTTTGCGTGATTCAGTTTGTTTATGTAGTGTGAATATATTAATTTATAGTGAATTTTATTTTCGAAATACTTCAGAATGCCATGGAACATAAGTGAATGTTCTTCAAATGTGTGTATTATAACTACATTGTTTATAAGTAACTAGAATTTATTCCTTCGCTTGTATTTCACTAATCAATCGTAAACTCTTATTGTTCGACACAATTTTTATCTTTCCGGCTACTATGAACCAATCATTTTTGTACCTGTATGCGTTGAAATTCAACTGCTGTTGTGTTCATTTCTTTGAATTTGAGTTTAACATTTACCGATTATTATTTGTTTTTGGGAATACTTAGTATTTATGCATATTCATTTATAAATATTCCGAGAACCTAAGATAGTCTTTTGATTGAATTGACTTCAGTTGAGTTGTTCCGATAAATCTAACACTCATGTACATGGAGAACATTTTACTGTTTGTGTTAAATACATCTTTTTATAAAGGAGGGGTTATCGATAAACGAGATGCAATGATACAATATGATCGAGTGATAACTGCTCACGAATCTGAATCATTCGCACAAACTTGTGAATGATGTAAGATCAAAAACACGACCGTCAGCCAAAGTAATGGGTTTTTTAGTAAAATGACATGCTTAAATCTCATGAACGGCTGGAGAATATCAGTTTTGAAGTGGGTGTGACTGTTAGGCTTAATTCCTGCCCATCGTTTCATTTATTTTTTAAATTTTGAGTGAAGTTTAAGATAATATTTTAGCACGAAGTCTTTTTATGGATCAAAGTCCACTAATTCTACTCTCTTGAATCACGGAACATGACATCCTAAATAGAAATGACAACGGTACCCGGAGAAATTCATTCCTGAAACAATTTCATCCTATGTATAATGAAGTATAAACATCAGTAATGAAGTTCCAAAAATAGTGGCAAAGTTGTAACAGCTGCTAAAAACTCCCTTCACTTACAAAACGTCAACCCATATCGCAACAATTGGAAGTCATACATCAGATCATTCGCAAGTTTTGTCTGTGAACGTAATTGTAGCAATACATGCTTTGTGTACATGAGAACTAGTTAGCACTGTGTCTTTCACAGCGTACTCGGGTTTTTAACACCTATTTTGGAAAGTGCTAGAAAAGAGTAACATTTGCGGCATAATAGAATGATGTAAATCTCCTCTCGTCAACAAGCCTTTTTATACACTGTGCTTTTGCCTGTTAGATGAAATGGTCAATAAATATTAGGAATACATCCACGTAACCCTCTTCGTCTCTTGTCATCTCAATAAAAGTAGTAAAAACGTTCGGACAGCATTAGTGTGAGTGATATAAGAAAAATGTTGGTTGAAAGTTACACTTATATCCATTCAATATTATTAATAATTTACCACCTAAGTCAATTGTTTCTTAATCGTAGGTTGATTGATACCAGTGCTTAGTATCTAATTACAAAACAGTGGATTATTTAGTGGTCGTGTACTATTTACATAGTGTATGGGCTACAAATATTCTGAGATCTGAATTTTTTACCCAGTTACCTATTAAATCTGTAGATGGATTAGAGTTCGATTACATGAGTCCTTAACTGCCTCAAATTTCCCAACAATAACTTCTGTTTTCGGTTCACTGTATTTGTAGCAAGATAATGCAAACATTTCATTTAATACATTTCAATAAAAACAGTTTACTCAGCTTTGTTTTCTTAAGAAATATTAACTCACAGCATAATGTAATTTGATTTCAAAATAATTTAAAATCATTGAAAATACCATTTTTGTTAATAATCACAGGTTCTTTCTACATTGAAGACATGTTGTTCTTAGAACCTCAACCTGAAAAACCTATTCATGTTCAAGAAATTTCCCATATTGACGTTAACACAACAGATTTTCGCAACTCTGGACCTTGGGTTGGTGTTGTTAGTGCCTTAGGTTTTGCAGGTAATGGTCAAGTAAAACCGGGACATTCAATAGCTCTTCAACTTCTTGCCGATTGGATACGTTGTGCTGGAGACTTCCATGGTTCATCAGAGTTACACACTGACTCTGGTTTGATACATCTTCTGATTTTGGGTGATTCAATTCAAGCATCAAAATCAAGTATAGATAATGATGGTGATAAGTGCACTCCAGCTGTACGTCTTACACAGCGTGTAAGTTTAAAAAGTCATTTACTTTCATTTGTCATGAAGTACCTTATTTATAAGTCATTCAGGTCGAAATATTTACGAGTTCAAGAATTTTAAAGTGTGGATTACTTTTGAAATAATAACACCAAAATTCACTGTACTCATCAGTGAAGACTGATAGTACAGCTAGCTTGGAGTCAGGAATCTTTTATCCTTGTAGCATAAATAACGCAATATATATTCAAATGGTTGGGATTGGATTTTAAAATTAGAAAATCTATATGTATTTATTAAAAAATATGAAACTCACAGAATTCGATATGCACTAGCGCGTAATCGGTTATCAAGACAATGTTAACCAGGTATCTTGTAAACGAATATATCGAGACTTAATAATTAGCATAGAACCAATATTAGACGGCCATTTAAAAACAAGAAGCTCCGTACAGCTGTTGCACTCTGGTATGGAACTCTTCAGCAGTGCGCAGCCGCGATTTCACTGGGGACCTCCAGGTCTTACGGCGAGTACCTAACCTCAGTCACTGAGCCGGCGTCCAACAGTTTGCACGTCTAACTCCAGTAAATACGCAACTATTTTCTATCATCGATGAGAAACTGTCTTTTCGACATGTTTGAACTCCACTGATCACAGCTTCTCACTGGGACTCTTAAAATTGAACAATATCGCGAGTCAATTGAAGTTAGGAATGTAAACTATTAGATTGCATCTCAATGGTTTAAATATTAGACTCTCAACTAGGGACTTGAAGGCCCTTAGTTTGACCTCCAGTAGTGTCGTAAATGGTTATCGATGTGGATTTCCATTTTAGGACGAAACAGCTGTCTAGTCTTTTTTTAGTTTTCAATGGCTGTTCAAAAAATAATCAGTCCATGATGCAAATTATGAACCTTAACTACCTCAATGAATCTGACAAACCTTATGGTAATAATTATCAGATTTCAGAAAATCATAGTTCTTGGGATTTATTTAGGCGGCACTTTTTCCAACTACTCAAGTCTATGAAAGTTCGAAGATAATATAGTTTTTCTGTTAGGTATCTGAAGTGTTCACAAAATAATTCCTTGTAAAACTTTCTATTTAAAGCACTCGCAGATTACTATGATCTTAGTATACGGTTATAGTTTGACAACATTTTATGTAAATGTATAATGGGGTTGACAAACATTATTTAACCATTGATTTTCGGCATATTGTCCCAGTCACAACATGCTTTTCGTGATGTTTAAAAGTTCTTAGCTGATAAAAGGTGATATGCTAAAAAACCATATCTTTGGTTTTTGTGGGTTTTTCCAAGGGATTTTCTTGATGACGATTGCCCATCATCTGTTTTCTATTTTCGCTAGTGTAATTACTGCCAGTATGGTAGTACAAGTCACACAGTACTGAATAAATACCGACTAATTTTCCTTGTTTTGGAAATCATAAAGGCATGAAACAAATTGAAATCTAGTCATTTTTGTATGTGTCAGTTTTTGAGTTAATTGTCTTCCTATTCAGGCTCGCTACTTAACTCGTAATGCCGATGCAGAAACTGTGACCGCTATGGCTCGTTTTGATCAGTGGTTAGCCAGTCTCCCTATAGGATCAGGTTGTAAAGATAATGGCACTGATTTTAATGGTATATCGATAGATTTGTTGCCGGGACCATCTGATCCTACTTCAGTCCTCATACCACAACAACCGATTCATTCAGCCGCCTTACCTTGTGCCGTTTCTCGTTCTGGTGGTGTTGGCAGTGGAAGTTTATGTGGTCGAACAAATCCTTATAGTTTTATGTTGAGAAATCGAAATATTCTGGCTACTTCTGGTCAGGGTGTAAATGAGTTATATAGGTAAGACTTTCCCGTTCACTTGTATAACACACTACTATTCAACAATTATTTAATTATCAATGATATTAGTGGTTTTTATTCCACATATTTCCAGAAAATGGCTGATATAGTCAACCTCCTCATTTAAGCTTGAAATAATTTACGGGTCTGAATTATGGAAGATAATTGTCCAATTGACAGATTTGAAGAAAAAGGACGTCATAATAATAAAAACTGAATAATAATGAAGAAAACTTGTTTAAGGGTAATAATAAATGAATTGCTTTCTCAAGCCGGTCTACCATTGATGGATGCGTTAAAGATGAACTTCCTTTTTGCACCACATCAATGTGCATCTATAAATTTGCTTGCTTATGTGGGACAGGTTACATTGGCCTCACAAAACGATCACTTTCCAAACGCATCTCAGAGCACCCGATATGGCTTTTAAAAGAAGAATGCAAAATAATTACTAGTTCAATACAGGAGCATTTGTCAACTATGGACACATTGCTCCAAAGGAGTCTTCTTTTAAAATAGTCTACACGTCAAAGGGATTGAATCGAAGGGAGGTCGAATCAAAATCGTATGCATCGCTAAGGCATTGGCAATCCACCAAATCAAGCCCGAACTTTGCGTGCAAAAGCGATACGTCCAACCTCTCATCCTTGTTCGTCCCTAATTCCCTTTTGTAGTTTTTCTCGATTTTTTTCATTTTTTATTTTTATCATTACTATTAATTTTTTTAAGTAGTGTTTTGTAATCGGTTATTATTATCCTTAAACAGGTTTTCTTCATTATGATTATTCAGTTTTTATTATTATGACGTTTATGTTTGTCCTTTTTCTTCATATCCGTCAATTGGACAATTATCTTCCATAATTCAGACCCATAAATTATTTCCAGCATTTCGAATGCTATTGGGACTAAAGCTACAAATTAAAAAGGCGATTCCGTTCATTGTTTTCTCTTTTGATGCTGCACTTAATACACTCGGTTATCCAGAGTTTAATAATTTTAAAATTGGATACAATTATTGAGTAAATTTAGCAGACATATTTAATGTGTGAGTGATATTTGAAATGTTAAATATCCAATATTTAACAAAGTATATATAGATTACTAACTAACATGCCTTTCTATATAATCACCTAACTTTATCTTTTAAACAAATGAGATTGGTTGATATTATAGTTTTCATGTAAAAAACTATGTTGGGACAAAACAATCTAAAGAATTATGCTTTAAGCAATATACTATTGTTATATAACACAGCTCAGAAGACAATTATTAACATCTCAACTAGACTGTTTCTTATATAGTTTGATAGTTAATTGTTTACATTTTTAAACCATGAAATTTGTATTCTGTCATTTACCGCATTAATATTTTTATTATAAATTTTGTTAGATATACAAAATTAGAGAATGCTTGTGACAGGATGGAAGCTACTTTACTGTGGGGTCACTTAGCTCCTACTTGTCCTGATACTCTTGGAGGGTATCCGATGACCAATGTCGATCCACTTCTTCTCCGTTCATCTTCCACTTCATCTGCTCAAAACTTTAGTCCTGACTATCCTGACATATACATAGCTGGTTGTCAACCTGAAGATCAGCCATCTTGGCGACGTGCTCGCTTAAAGTGGAGTGAGGAGATAGATAAAAATAACTGTGGTTGCTTATTGGTATCCGTACCACGTTTTGATTCGACTTTCTCTTTCGTACTTATCAACTTAAAATCACTTGATTGTCGTGTAGTTCGCTTTGATTCAAGTTTGTTAGATGAAAATTGATGACAAGAGTATAAATATATCATCTTATTTTTGTATGATTGTTATCACTTTTTAATAACCTATGTGTGCTACTAACGCAATATTAGTGTGTTTTGCGATGTTAATTCCTTGCGGTCACCTGGATAATTTTCTGATATATGTTGAGAATTTTTTATGAGTAACCAAAACATCCTACTGAGGCAACCTATACTCTTTCGGTGGTTTCCAAATATGTCGATTTTTGCACAAACCAAAAAAATCCACTTAAAGAGAAGCTGAAAGACTTTGGAATAAATATTGAAAGATAATGTCCTGTCACATGACGACGTACTCAATGATTTGTGGCTGTACGACATGTGATATCAGATTACTCACACTGATATGGTAAGCCAATCAGAAATAGCCAGATGAGAAGGTCAATCGATGGTAATACGAAGTGGCCTGAAGGACAATTGCACTCCACTGGCTAAGAAGTGGATTGGTTCCCTCGATGGTAGAGTTGCATTTATATAAATGAGTATTTGTGTATTTAATTCAGTAGCCCAATTTGCCTTCTTGTCCACTCTTGAGTTTTCATCTAACTAGTTGGGGGGGGGGGGTTAGCTCTTAGAAAGTCCTTAGTCCGTTTCAGATTCCCATAAACTAGTACGCCTCATGTAACATTGTTATCTGAAGATAAATTGTTATTATATAGGTAGCACCACCTTAGGACTCTTCAAATAATAGCCTAGACTTTAGTGGTCCAGAAATCTTCGCAGGGACCATTTAAGGTGTGGGTAGTAACAGAATGCGCGCTCCGTACGTGATAATGGGTTACAATCTAGTCAGTAACAAAATGGTTACCAGGAAGTATATGTAGATGTTCGCTGTCGAATGGCGAGCACGATAACTGAGGTCGTCCACTACTCGGCTGACGTCACCTGCGAAAGGATTAAGTTTGTCGCGTAACAGTGCTTTTCATTACCTTACCGGCAGCGATTAGGGAGATTGTCATTTTCTTATTCGTAACAGGCTCTTCTACTTCTCTCTGTCTTTCTTGCGTCTCACGTGTTTTGTCGTGCTCGTGTTTATGTTGTGTGCGCTTTAGCGTCTCCATCTCTGTGGGAAATGCGATAATCCGAACTAATTTCATTATGTTCTATTTCTCATTATATTCCAATCTCCATCTACCAAGAATTAATGGTCTTTCGTCCGATTTCGTTATCATATTGCGAACAAACCGTTTGCAGAGAGCGAATCTTCTCAGTATTTTGGATCAGGTCTGAATAACTCCCCGTGGATGTTTCGCGTAGCTCTCCCGGAAATAAATGGACTAGAACAAGGTTTGTAGAATTATGGTCTACTACGATATTAGTACTGCTCTAATAATAGACCTAATCCTAAATTTGTAGATTCGTCATGATATAACTGCCTAATCTATAAGATCTTACGTGGAAGTCACACCATCGACTACGCCAACTCACTGTATCGTATCAATTACCAATACATGATGAAGAACCAGGTTAGTTTAGAGAAAGAACAATATATTTAATATGAATAGAGACCACGCCTGCATGGCCGAGCCATGCCACTCGATCAACCCCAGTCCATTCAATTCATTGTTCGCGCCTTCTCCATTGTTAGGTATTTCTCCGCGTTAAATATTGAATATCTATTTTCTGAGTAGTCTCGTGTTCACAGCTTTGTGGATTGTGTGGCTATTGTCCAATGCCACTACACTACTCTCCCACCAGAATCAACGTGATGTTGGTTCAATACCAAATTGGATGGGATCGTCGCGCGCCGGAGGTTACCAAGGATAATAAGAATCCTCCGGGTATTGGTAAGCTGAAAGATAAATCAAAAAGAAGGCGGCAGAATCTGGTCGGGAAATACATGTAATAATCTTAAAATATCTGCTTTCATGATTAACACGCTTAGAATGAAAATTTGGTTGAAGATTATTTGAACTATAAAAAATGGAATTACAATAATAATAATAATAATAAAACGATGCGTGTTAATAACTTAACTTATAGGCAGTAATTATTTTGTGTTTAGAAATATTAAAATAATGAATATTGTAGAAATGTTAATATTGGTATGTTTCGGTTTAAATTATGAAATCAATTAACAATTATGCCGGTAACCCGTCCATATGTGATTTCCAATCGCATCTGTATTAGTAGGCTAACTGGAAGAACAAAAGTATTACCATGGAAAAGAATTCCAACCAGTGTTCCAGTTAGTTTGATACGGTTTATTTAGTTACGGGGAGATTTTCTCAACCTCATTTTTACTTGACCGTGATAGAATTTAGTAATACTACTAATACACATGAATGGTTATCAAAATAAAATTTAAATACGTGAGCGATGATTATATGAATTTTGGACAGATAGCTAGGAACAAATCGTTAAACATGAGTGTATTCGTAAGAGACATGCTCTAGACTCAATGTTCTGATCTGTGGCAGACTATTTATTTGTATTTATACTTACCGGCTGACTGGGCATACAAGTTAGTTGCAAGTATGCAGTTTATCATAAGGCGGAATACGATTTAATTGAGATATAGTGGTTATAAGTTATTAAAATCAGTTAAGCCTATGGATCATATTACGAAGTGATGTGGTGCTGCAAGATGTATTTAGCTAAATAACTTTTTACAAGATGATTAATAGTGAGTGATGCTCATGTGATTATCAGGGAGAACATAAGTTGTAACCAGGGGGAGTACACTCCCAACTCATGTCTATGATAATGGCTTGAACCTTAGTCAGTGTTGGGGTAAATTCGACATTGATATTTTCAGTTTGCAGGAGATTTGCTCGACTGCTTATACTGATTATTTGCATGCATGATTGTGTCGCTAAACCTCCAATTAGACTGACAAGGTTTTGAGATATTTACTGAATGAGCAACTGATAGATAAACCTACTGTAATCATCTGTAGTGAATGAAGATAAAAGAAAAACAACACTAGCGATAATTATAAGTCAATTTGCTGACCGATTTTGTTAATAGTTTCATTAATTTTATAAACCATATTACGTGTTGTCAAGTTATGACAAAGCTTTATGACGATATCCTGAAACTATTATGTTTAACTAGTTATAGTGTTGAATGAGGATTAGTCAGTGGAAAAATAGGTATTGTTGCTTTAGGTGATTCGAAATTATCATAAATTTGTAACGTTAAGGAATCCGAGACGCCTAATTATATTATGAATTTCAATTCAGAAACAATCGTTCATTGTTAATTCTAGTAGGCTACGGAGTTTTGATTTCAAACGTTTGTTTGGCCAACAGCTACCTGGGGATTTAGTTATTTTACTAGTGCAGTTGATAGTACCTAAATTTTTAATCTTATTATCTAAACTATGTCTGCATTGTAGGCTGCTAATATGATAAACCAAGCAATAAACCCAAATACGATTAGCAACAACGACTATGATGGGTTTATTAATAAATGTTAAAGGCGATCCAGATGATTTCTAAATTTAGAAGAAATGGAGGTATAGTGTAACGTATGTATGGGCCAGGTTAACATGCAGGTTGTTGACGTATATGACGACTTAAAAATAATGAACATGACCAGAAAATAGTTTTAAAGTTTAGACTGCTTGTGAAACTTCAGGCAGGAATATGATGCGTTATAAACATTCCATAAGAAGTTACTGCATTTAGCCTAGGGACACTTACAAATATATAGCAAAAGGAACCGGAAAACATATACATGTTAAGTACAAAAAAATCATTAAGTAAAATAGTTGAACTCGCCTGGGTTATTTTTGAAAATTAGATTATTCAGTGGACGACATATATAACGCTATTCGTGAGTAGTATTGATCCAAAAGCATCCAGAATAAAACATGCAGTATGGCAATTAATTACAGGGTGCTTGATGCTGTTGAGGTTTTTGACACTCGCTCGGATCAGAACAATCGAATGAATCCAGATAATTGTATGGTTGTCATTGAACGAACCATCTAAAAATGATTGCAGAAAACTTATAGCTGAAACTCACCGTATGTTTTTGGAGTAGTCATCCTCGTTGTTTGGCAATGGAACTCGAGAATATGAAATTAGGCAGGCAGTGGTCGGAAGAAAAGATATTACAGGATAGTGCATCGTTTAAAACAGGATGAGGTGTTAAGTGAAGGAACACTGAGAATTAGATCCAGATAACTATTTAGTCCTTGATCGCATTGTTAGTCAATGTATATTTACGCTATTTACAGGTCATATTTGCTAGAGCTTGATGTTTAAACAAGACTATGTTGCTGAAGCATGTAAATGCTATTACAGCTTGTTAACAAACCATCAAAGCTAATTAGTTAATATAGACGACCAGTTTTTATTATCGATTGAGCTAGTTTGTCATGAGGACTAATCAATATAAAATTACGATAATGCATGTGAGCATTAATCAGAGGACTATTAGAATACAGGGTTAACATAAATATAAAATCGATCGAGAAAGTTGAAGTGGAAATAAGGATTAATAATAATAGGTTGCGTTTCTTTAGTTGGGCTCACCAATGTAGAATTATGGTCTACTACGATATTAGTACTGCTCTAATAATAGACCTAATCCTAAATTTGTAGATTCGTCATGATATAACTGCCTAATCTATAAGATCTTACGTGGAAGTCACACCATCGACTACGCCAACTCACTGTATCGTATCAATTACCAATACATGATGAAGAACCAGGTTAGTTTAGAGAAAGAACAATATATTTAATATGAATAGAGACCACGCCTGCATGGCCGAGCCATGCCACTCGATCAACCCCAGTCCATTCAATTCATTGTTCGCGCCTTCTCCATTGTTAGGTATTTCTCCGCGTTAAATATTGAATATCTATTTTCTGAGTAGTCTCGTGTTCACAGCTTTGTGGATTGTGTGGCTATTGTCCAATGCCACTACAGGTTCTCCTCGCCTGAATCCGGCCGGGCATTCTCGTTCTAAAAGTTAGTTCCGCGAAACCACTCATTTGGTTTAATGCTATCATCTAATGGCAATCCACACGAAGAATGTTAATGTAGTCCTGTTTACTTTAATCATGTCGCCGTTAGCAGTTCGTGAGTCATTGATGATCTGTCGCTTTCAATCCTGGTTGCGTTACCTATGCAATGGAATACGATTAACGAATCCGTCCATTAAGTGACAAAAGAGATAAGGACACAATTGTTGCTCCACGCGTTTTCTAATCTTAGCACAGTACGGCAGTTGTTAATTTCATTCTAGAGATAGTGGTAGGTTTCAGTGGTGCAATCCTGGATTTAGCTAATAGAAGGGAACAGTGAACTTGATGAAAGACATCTTCAAAACGAGTGTACGCCGCAACAGACATTGGCAAAGTAATGAATTTGAATAGCCAGATTTTGTCGGCTAATATGCTGTAATACTAATTTAGCTGGTATAACATCTAGGGCTATAAACCGAACCGGGTCGAATATAGGAGCTACGTATCACAAAATAACACTACTGGTAGGGATCGCTTCGGATTCGCGCA